TTGAGTAAAATATATTATAATCTATATAAGTTTTATTTTATATATATATATATATATATATATATATATATATATATATAATTGAATTTAAGGTAGATACACTCTGGTAAAAATAATTTAACTTATATTATACAGTATCTATAGTATGTAATTCAATAATAGAGTAACAAATAATTGAATAACGTTACTGCCACCTAGCCCAAAATTTTATGTAATTATAAGCTAGAAAATATTTTTAAAATAAAAATGAAATGCTAATAAAAATAGATACAGAGTGCCAGGACAGTTTTTCATGTCGTTGGTTCATTTCCCGCAGTAACCATATTTCATTGTTCCAATTATATAGTTATAAAAGATAGAGGTACCGATAGAATCTTTGTCATGCATACAATATTTTCATATTTTTTAAATAATACTCTATATATTAATATATTGTATACCAGAAGTTTTCAACTATGTCTGGACGAGTAAAGTCATCGGATCCTCCAGTCCAATTCCAATCACCGGCAGGTTCGCCACGACTCCGGAGGGCCAGGTCACTAAAGTCATCTAGTAATCAAGATGAGAAGACCAATAGTGCCGGTGTATCACAAATGAAGCACTTCTTTGAGAACTCGCCTATGATAATGCATCTTAAAAGGCCACCCCTAACCCCAAGGACCATTGGAAAAGAGAATCGCATGAAGAATCCACTGCCAATGCCATTATCTGCTGTAAAGAGACAACTTGGTGAGGATTCGGACAATGAAGAAGTTTCAGTAAGTCCTAGCCTAGCGCAGTTAAGAATGACACCAGGTAAGACAAAAATTAAATTAAATTGTTTTTAATTTACTTATTTTTTTCGCTTTTGTTAGGATTTCATAACCTTTTTATTTCTTTCTCTTTTTTTTTTTTTTTTTTATAACTTTTTTATTTCTTTCTGTTTTTTTTTTTTTTTTTTTTTTTTGTCATCAAAGACCTCTAAAATAAGAAAAAAACATAAAAATTTAAACTCAATGAACTTGGGGTCAGTCCACCATGGTTGACTATAATTCTTTCAAACAAATCTTTTAACTTGTAATCATTTCTGAATAATATATTAATATTTGCTCTTTAAGGGCACATTGTCAATCATTTCCAAAATGTAATTAAACTGGCAGTAACATTTTAACTCTCAAAATTCAAGAAATATAAGCATTAATATTGCTGTATAGGCCAATGTCCTCTGAATACTCTTATGCAGTATTTGTTATCCACTTGCAACATTTTCTACATTTTTCCTTTATTTTTACTTTCTGAAACATATTGCTTTTATGACAGGTAAAGCATTGCAAAAACAAAAGCTTTTAGAAGAAAAACATCGGCTTGCAAAATCCAAGGTGTCGAGCATGGGTCCTGGAGGAGGGGTCAGTATATGGCCAGAGATGGATGATATGCGGTTGACTCCAAAAGAAATGCATTTGATTGTGATAATCTCTTTAGTTTTAATTGGCTTTGTTTGTCAACTTTTTTGGCTCTTGCATGGTATGGGAATTTATTTATATTATTAGCTTTTTCTAAGCATAGTCTTATAGACTCTATTTTTCAAACCAATAGTGTGTTTACTCCATCTTAACTTAATGTTTTCTCTACTGCCTAAATGATTCATATACATATACAAATTGTACACAATGCTCTGGCATTTACAAAGAGAAGTAGTTACTATGTCTGCATACAATAATATCATATATATTATAATCATTTTTTTTTTACATTTTTCCAATAGGCAATACTTTCAATTTCATCAAGAAGTATAACTACAAATTGTATGCATTTTCGTTAAATCATCCGTTGGACTTGTCAGCTCAAGAAAACCTAAATACATCATGTCTGGCATGGCATGATGGATTCTTCAGATTAATGGTAATAAACCTATCTCATACTCATACATGTTTCAGTTGTCAATGTCAGAGGTCAAGGCGAACACTTGCTAATTACACAATGTATGCATACATTCACAAATAAAGCTAATATTACACACAATAATTTGTATATGCATTAAAATTTGGCATATGTAATTGAAATTACAATGTGGCCCATAAAAATAAAATTTTGTGTGGTAATAGCAGTTGTAATAATAGTAATAATTGGGACGATATGATGATTACAACAAAGACAACGATGATGATGATGACGATGAAGTATTGTTAGTCAAGGTAATAAATGAGGTTTGCTATCCCAAAATCAATGTCAGTGACTAAAAAATGAAATTTACTATAATATATACTTATTCTCCACATTGTAAAGCTTTAAAATGATGGATCATTTACTGAAATTGACTTATTATTGCCAAACTTATTAGTAAGAGTATTACGGCTTCTTTGTATTAAAACATAAATTACTGCCACATTACTCAGTATAACAATAAGCAACAGTACGCTGGTTTTGGGATGGCAAGCCTCAAATACGAATATTAATAGGACCTTATTTCTCTATTATTATACAGCAATAAAATAATGATGTACAATTGTTTTCTCAGAACTCTATAGATGAAGACCTTGGCACAGACTTGTCGAAGACACCAGCCTCCTATAAGTTGGCCATTTTCCTGTACCTTGGTGGCCTGGGAACACTTCTTTACTATCTTGCAGACAGTATGTTAGCAAAGAGTAAACTTACACCAAAGAGAATCAAAAGCTGGTAAACTTCTTTCTGTTCTCTTGCAAGCCAATAATATATACTTCATCATATTATCATCATCAAAATTATATCACCATAAAAATTAGACACTGAAATAACAAAAAATAATAAATAATAGTTTCTTTTTACTTTTTAGTAACACTGTTAATAGTGAATGTCAAGTAATGGTTACTCATTATTCATTAATAATTAAAAAAAAAAGGATTTGGTTTTTCATTGAGAAGCTCATAATTACTGTACTTAATACTCCAACTACCACTCCCTTTCTGCAAACAGAGGAAAAAATCACATATCTATCCCCATGATAACAGTCAGACACACTCTCTCTCTCTCCTCTCTAAACCGGTGATTTTATTTTCAGTAATTTAATACTGTACAAACAAGTTGCACTCAAAGATTTACTTTTATTTCCACTTTCAATAGGATTTCTCTACTTGTTGTTGTGGGAACTTGGACTATTTTGATGGTGTCCATGTTAGCAGAAGCTCAGAAGTTAGAAGTCCTTGTCCAAGGCAATGTTCATGAATTTAACTCAAAGCTTGTAAGTACACCTACTAATCCAATGTTTGGTTCCACACTAGCTGTAATGACTATGTTGGGCCATGAAGAATACCACTTGGGTTGTCATCTCAATCAAGCATGCTAATTCTAGCATTTCAGTGGTGGATCTAGGAATTCGAAATAGAGGGGGACCAGGGGACTTACAAAGATGGAGAGTCTACACCATCTCAGCCTCACTCCATTTTATTTATAATTTTGAAACATTCCTCCGGCCCTTCCCGAATCCGCCACTGCATTTGATTTTTCTGGCACATTGCCTCTGCTGGGCCTGTCTGTTTCATTCAACCTTCACTGGAATTACTCTTTACCCTAGGCAAGTGATCCTCCCACAAGGTTTTTTCTTCCTTTTCAAGGACTGTCGAGATGATGAGATAGTACAATGAGCAGTAGCTTTTTCAATACAGTTGTCATATTTAAAATGAAAAATATTTTAAAAATTAATTTCAGGGTGAGCTTGTATATCTGAACTTTGACCTATCTCAATACCATAACATCTTGCTCTATTGGAAAACACGATGTCTTCCACCGACAACCAAAGGCGTCCTAAGCATACTGGGCATGCTACAAGTACAGGATGTGTCTTACTATTTGCAATATTACAGTCTACCAGTTTTGACCGCACTGCTGACTCCAATTGTCAAACTGGTGCTTGCTCTCAAGGAAATTTACAGTGTGAAGGTTCACTGAATCAAATTTGCATGTTATAAATTACATAATGAGAAGCCTTGATTATTTAAGAATACTGCCAATTAAATTCATTTAATATTCCAGTCCGATAATTAATATGACAAGCATATACCTGTGCTCAGCACGGTGTTGAATGAGTCAGGAAAGGTGGCGATCATGTACATTTTTGAATGATCATAGGCTAGGCTGCGCCTAGGCCTGTGTAGGGCTAGCCGTTATGGTTAGGCCGAGGTTATATCATGGCTTGTGCCCAGGTGTATCTTTATTTTTACCTGATCGACTTCTAAAACATGCCATTTATTGCTGATGTTTTGTGCCATAAAACTACAAAATGCAATGGGTACTCCGAAGAGGTACGGGAACATGTTTGTCACCCATTTTGTTGACGAATGTGAGAAGTAATGAAGGTGCAAAACATAGACTGGTGCTTTTACGGCCTGACTCGATAATTTTTAGACCTAAGCATTGCAGTACAGAATAGATGTGATTAATTGTATTTACAATATGTGATGAAGCAACTTGCGAAACAGGTACTGATTTTTTAGTGGTTTTTGGCTGTTTTTTCGTTGTTATCCAACATCCAGCCTTAAAAAGTAGCGGAATGTGGTCGTGATATATAGAAGCCCCAGTGTATGAAATATGAGCACATTCCTGCCAGCGGTTTCAGAGTAGATAGGGAAAGTTACGCGGTAGCAATTAGCAGAATTAATATATAGATTACAGTATTGGTATAATTAAATCTACAGAATTTATTTTTGATAGCAACCAACCACTGTGTTATACAGACAAAAGATGCAAGTATGGCAATAGTTAAATTTTCAGCATAATTTTAATGACACAGATAAAGACAAAATATCTATTGCATTTGATGACAAACTGCTTCTTTATAGTCACAAACCAGAGGAAATATTCTGAAATGAGAAGACTAAATGTACATATATTTTTGATTAACTGAATTGATTTGAATGAAAAGCTCTATGTGAAGCCTTACATTATCAAATAAAGTTTATAAAAGGAGCTACAAATGATTTTACTTTTTTTATTATAAAATTTGATCAATTATGTTGATAATTATGTATGATAACTATATCATAATGTGTCGTCCCCTGTCTTAGATTTTGTTTCTGCCTTTGAACTATACTCTTCAGTACTGTATTCGTGTTTCATTTGTTCATGTCCCTCTGTATTTGGACCCACAGTACTCTCTAATGACTTCGTCTCACTTGATACCAAGCGTTGATTTTGCTTACTAAGGTTACCGTAGATTGCCATTCCCTGTTAACAAAAAAAAATATTTAATCTTAAAAACAAACAGGTTTATAACGTACCCTATTTATTCGAATAAATGCCCTGGGGCGTTTATTGCTTAAATGAGTTTTTGAGAGGGCGTATATTTGAGAGAGGAGTTTATTTTGTTTGGTGTAAAATGAACATGTATGTACTCGAGTAAACGCCCCATTATTTCACTGTAACTGGAACTACGACATATGATTATCGTCAAAATGTGTTATTGCGTGATGATTAAGAACCAGGTTAGACAAAATTTAATTCTACTAAAGTAGAGCATTACCATAATAGATTATGTTAAGAATGGTGTTGATTCCATTAGATTTCTTCAGTCATTTAAGGGTCGTTTATTTGAGGGGCGTCTATTTAAAGTGGGCCATTTATTCAAATAAATACATATATTGATTCTTTTCATTTTATTTTCATATCTATTGACATAAAGTACAAATAAAATATTGGTGCAGGGATGGCACTAAGAGGTTGAAAAAAGATATTGTTTCTCAAGTTCAACCCCTTAACAATACTCAAGTAAATTGAAAAAGAAACAATGACATGATCTCAATACTGTATAGTGTAAGGAGTGCAATTCTTACCTGTGCCACCATACTACTGATGTCTCCAGTGTTGGCTGGAAGAACAATTGTGTTGCTCTCCTTGGCTAGGTTACCAAATGCTGCTACATATTGCTCTGCCACATTCAACGAGGCTGCATTTCCTCCATGCTATAAAAGATTGTAGGTTGTTAGTACGGCCAAAAGAAATATGGAGAGATGGTGCTGGATGAGAGAATAGGCAGTGACATATCTAGAAGGGAGGGAAGTGACCAGAATAGGCAGTGGCGTATCTAGAAGTGGGGCCTAAAAAAATGCTAGCCATCCTTCCCCCACCCCACCCCCCACCAAAAAAAAATTATGCTCAAGTAGTTAAAAAGCACCTTATTTTGTGAGCTACAGTAGCACACCCTCAACTAATCATCGAAATTTCGATTTTTTTTTTACATTTTTTTTAAATTTGAAATCACCATTATTGGGAGGTCGGAGAATTTGTTAAACAAGGTATAAAGAAAGCCTCGCCTAAAGAAGTAATGCTCAAATACCACTACACCTCCTTTGTTTTATCTACCTTTATGAATCTTGAAGAAATCTTCGCCACAAGAAATTCCCATTTCTTGTGGCGAAGGGTGTGCTAACTGGTCAAAAATAATTTTTCCTTTTTAATTGAAATCACCATTATTGGGGGTCGGAACATTTGTTAAACAAGGTATAAAGAAAAGTCTCGCCTAAAGAAGCCCATGCTCATATACCACTACACCTCTACTACATTTATGAATTTTGAAGAACTTACTTCTTTACCAATGGCCTCGGCAACTATACTCAGACCCTCAGCTCTGGCATTAGCTTTGGCAACGATGGCATTAGCTTCACCAGTAGCTCGATTGATCTGTTCCATCCTGATGGCCTCTGATGCCAGGATTACAGACCTCTTCTTGCCTTCTGCTACATTGATCTCCGACTCTCTAATACCTGATAGAGTCAACCAAAGAAACAAAATTTATTATAATCTGTAACTTATTTTTTTTGTGAGACTATCACAAGTGACAGAAACAAGGGTTTATTTTATAGTACTGTATAATTGGATTGTGAATTTGATTAATTTTGTTTTTGTATTGTTGCAACCGTAGGTGTAATTTATATATATATATATATATATATTTGTAAACCAACTGTTTTGGTGTTCTATTTTTATACCGTGAAAATTAAATAAAATAAATTAAATAAAGGGTTGACGTATTTCTGGAACATAAATATATTAATTTTTGAGCACAAATATTTCGGTCGTCCCTGCAACCTTCTTCAGTGTGTACTCATAAATATATATTTAAAAAATCCTTTCAAATTCTTCAACATATTTTGGTAATTGTTTTTTTACAGGTTAGCGGTTTAGACAGAATTTACTCTGGTGTTTCGGATTACAGCCTGTCTTTTTCAGTATTTCATTGTACATTATTGTCCTTTATAACTTTTGTGTGATGTGTCCACTTTATAATAAATAAATAAATAGAGCATCAACAATAGTAAACAATAAATTCATTGAATAAGAAAAATTACTAAGACCAACCAACCAATGTAGTTAGAGTAAAAAAATGGTACAAGTTGACTAGGGACTATCTCACCTTCAGATTCCAACACCCTGGCTCTTTTCTTTCTCTCTGCCTCCACCTGCATCTGCATAGCTTCCTTCACCTTGTTTGGCACATCAATGTCTTTGATCTCATAACGTAAGCACCGGATGCCCCACTGCTCTGTAGCTGCTTTGTTAATGGCTTCTGTATATTGAAAAGGATTACAGTATGTGTATATATTCCAAGTCAAAAACAAATCTCTGAGCTCAAAGGGAAAAATTTCTCTTTTTCTTTACTTTTGTGCCAGACTCTGCAATGCTGTGGGGTTAGCCAACTGTTGCTGCTCATTGAGTTTTTCTTTCCAGCATAAGCTAGTACCAAATTATACTTTAGGTGGAAAAAAGCAGAAACAGTGCTTTACTCAAGAACATAAGCAATATGTATAGTATCGGAAAGATTCTAAATTCTCTAGCTTCACCAGTAGCTTGGTTAATCTGCTCCATCCTGATGGATGGAATAAAAAATGTTCACAAAATATAAATCCTCAACCACAAGGCATAAACTGGCTTAAATTATGGGAAAAATTCACAGTTCGCGAACATGTGTGTCCAGTGACACATCAAAGGGTATTAACATAGGGTTAGGAACTGATGACAGGAGAACTACTGTAGCTTGGGGAATGATGTTATATGAGGTGTATTTATTTTTACTTAGCAAATTTTAAGTTAGGTAAGCCTGGAGGGACTAAGTTTTTGTGGGGACCTCTGCCCCCAAAATATTCCCCTTAAATATGCCACTGTGCATGGCTAAGTATTCAAAGCTGGGGTGATTACTTCCGAAATGAATTGAAGTGTTTTTACTGTAGGCAGCTGCTTGACGAAACACACTAAATTTTTCACTATGTATTCTATCAAATACTTGATATGTAATATGTGACTACAGCTTTGTTGTACTGTATATATCTTTATATTGATTATTACTGTATACTGACCGACAATGTTGTAATTGAGTGACTCCCTTTCTTTGAAGACAGTGTCAAGAGGGATCTTTCCAATCTCGGACCTCATAGTGGTTTGAGCCAGCTGGGTCACGGCATACTCAGGATCTTCAACTCCATAACTTGCCTACATGTAAACATTTGATTTTCAAAGCATGAATGCTACTACGTAATAGATCATAAAAATAATGCAACACAGCAAATATATTAATCATTAAAAAAATATAATGCCTTTGGATATAGAAAATCAAAAATAAAACTTGTATAAATTTTAATAGTAATGCTGTAATAATTAAAATAATAATATTGACAATTTTAATCAATATAAATAATAATGATAATCTTTATTGTAATTTACTGTTGTATATGAATGTTATTTATCTTATGTACGACATATTGTAAACTGAATTCCCAATTCAGCCATTGGCTGCTATGGATTTGATATCGTTTTCTTGTATATTTTGTTTTTGTGAATCAAAAATACTGAAATATTAAAAAAATTGTGGTGTTTCTATAATATTAATGTGAAACTTTTAAGTTTGTAAACAATTTGATAGTATGTCTTAGTAAATATATTCTACAAACATTAAATGCTGTACTTACATTATATGGATCAATGACTCGGAGATATAAAACACCATCAATATGTATTGTTACATTATCTTTAAAAAAAAAAAAGAAGAACCAACTATAAAATGCAGAATTTGTAATTACATCATCATCACAATCTTCAAATCAAGAACCCTAATAAATGTGTATAATACAGGTAAAATGTCAAATTAATTATTGATTGATTGATTGATTGAAATCTATTATGGGTTCACTTACCTATTGTAATAGCACTTTGCTCAGGGATTGGAATAGCAATTTCTTTTAAACTTTGCACATATTTAACTCTATCCAGGATTGGAATAAGAAAATTAAGACCCTGTGAAAAGTAAAATGTGTAGAGTGCTGTATTAAACAATGTCCATCAATGATTATCACTTCAAATATCCACTAGTTTAATACATTTTATATCAACCTATATCTTCAAATAAAAAAAAAAAAGTTGTTTAAAACATTGCAAAATCTATGATCTTTAACTGCTTTCAATATTATCTGTACTTGATATATTTTTGTGAATTGTAGCTGATATGAGTAACTATATTTAATTGCTAGCTTCTATAACAAATATCAAATGCGAAAAAAGAAGCTTGCTGTTAGGTGTCTGTCCTAGAGCCCAAAATCAATTCAATGACTTGACCAGCCATAGATGATCAATATTTAAATATCTTACTGGTTGTAACACTCTATTGAATCGCCCCATTCGCTCAACAATCCATGCTTCTTGCTGAGGAACAAACAATATAACTGTGTTCATCGGCAAACCTGAGGCGTGTCTACATTGTACTGCTATAGACGCATGCGGCAGCAACCTCTGTTGAAAATGAAAACAATCACAATGAATGGTAAATATTACTATGATTATATCGATTGGGCAATTCCATGGTAAAACTCACTGATGTTTTGACAGATTTTTATGTGTACTGTTCTGTGTACTATTTCTAATTTTATTGAAACTCAACTGAAATATTTCCTCCACAAAAATAGTGAAATAAATCAAAAGAATTCCAATTAGAGAATAACCTATTTGTCCACAGTATGATCCGTATTTATTTTAATAAATGCCCCAGGGCATTCACTGTTGAGAAGTGGTTTTGAGGGGAATTTATTCAAGGGAGGTGTTTTTTTTTTTTGTGTAAAATGGATACTTATAGGTACTTAAATAAAAGCCCCTTAATTTTACTGTAAAGTGTAAATGTGGAAATACAACACTCAAAATGTGTTTTTGTGGAATCATAAAGACATATTAATCCCAACCACCTTAGGGAAAAAAAATTCTACTGGAGAAGAGCAATAATAGAATGTGTTTGGTTATTTACAGTATTTTGTGGTGGATTTGAATAGAAACCTTTGTCTAAAATAATACAAATATATTATATTATACAAAATAGGTCTACAATGTTTTTTTTCAAAGATAAATGTACTTTTTTTCAGAAGTCAAACAAGACTGATGCAATATTCATGACTATAATAATACTATAGTAGTACAGTTTTCTGTCTAAAACAAGATACAGAGTAGTAGTATATAGGCCTAGGCCTAATTAGAAAAGTAGTAGGAGTAGGCCTAGGCTATAAATAGTAGTATACTACAACTACAAGTAATAGGCCTGTGCCTAAGGATTTTATCTTGCATTAGTAATGTATTTGCCTGGGTTTTGCATCACATTATTCACATTCATTTCAACTGCATAAAAATCAACAAATGCAATCACGCCCAGGCTTACTGTACCTAGGTCCTATGCGCTTAATTTAACATCTAGGCCTAGCCTAGACCCAAACCAGAGAAAAAAATACTACATAAGTGTAATGACAGACCATCAAGGCAAGCAAGGTATACTCTACATACCCAAGTATAAAACTCCAAGCAAAATATTTTATTGGGCCTTTTCCTCATTTTTTATTTAGTATTTATTGGCCAAACACTTTTATAACAACCTTAATAATTTAAGTTAATAGCTACTTTCATTGGAATGTCAAAGTTTTATTAGTTTTTCAATCTTTAGACTTTAGGCCTTTTGGTATACTGATAGCAGGCCTATTGATCGCACTCTTAGCTGCTTAGAATTTCCGCTTGACTGGATTTCTATACTGCAATATATATATATATATGCAATCAATAAAAGTGGCAGCATACCATGTAATGCTTAAATTCGCTAATTTTCTAACCTAACTAACTTGAAATGCATTATGTGACAAGTTATTTTTAGCAGAGGGTGTCCCTGTGGAACATGTGAGTCTTCATGCTGTGAATTAATGATCCAATCAGCCCACTGAACGGGTCTCTTCAGTGACGGACCGCGGTGTTGTCTACTTTTAGCCACAGTTTGCAAGCTAGCTGTTTTTTTTTTTTCGTAGCGACAGCAAACAACAAGTTTGAATGGGCTTTGAATTTTCAACTTTACAGCGATACCAATGTCTGGTCTAATCAAATTTTGAATTCGGAGCCAATTCCTTTATATTTTGTGAGCATTTGTTTTTTGCAAAGTTGTTTTTATGCAGTTAAAATAAATGATGCAACAAAAAAATAAATAATACATTTTAAAAAATAAGTAAAATTATTCCTGCATTAATATTTCCAAAATGTTTAATGCAGGCGGGAATTATAATCCATTCTAATAATATTAATTTTTCAATTTGCCCTTATATTGTGCAATGTTAACTCTTTTGTAATAAGAATACGCCAATTCAGCCACTGGCTGCGATTGTATTTTTAATTTGAGCAATAAATATACCAAGCAAGAATATTCCATGCTACTACATAAGAGGCAAGTGAGCAACTCTACCAGGGTCAGGCTGACGACCTAGCCTTGGCTTAGCCTAGCTTAGAGAAGGCCTAGCTACCTAGGCCTATCTAGGATAATGGGAGGGGAGGACCTGTGCCTAGGAATTGATGGAAGGAACAAATAAATCCAACTCCATTTGCATCAAGTCGAATACATTGTGTATAATAACAAAACAGTTGGAAAACAAACCTGAGCTACACGAATTCCTTGCACACTTCTTAACATTATATATTCATAAACTAACACACCACCAAACCACTGACACCAACATAGAAAAGCACGAGTTTACCCGCTGTCCCTTGTTTTTTTTCTCATTCTGAACAAGCGCCACCAACGAGAAAGTTGATAATTTAGCCGTATTCGATTGTTGGTTCTTCGTTAAGAAAGTATAATACATACTCCAAGTATTGAAATACACGCCATCGTGTTGGGATTCAATATTTCGACATTAATTATGTCATCATCAGGAATGATGATGTTCTTCGTTAAACCATGAAGGTATTATAGTGGCTTATTCGACTGGTCATTTTGTTGAGTACGAATTTTGGTTGAGTATTATTTTCATTCGACTGGTTCGTAAAATAGACTTCGTTGACAACGAAAATTAACGTAAACCAGAATGTGTTAATCAGCGTTAAGTTTGGCCGATTGGTCAGTTTAGCAACAACATTTGCGTTAAAGATATACTGTCCCTTGCAAAAAACATTTTAAAAAATCATTTTTGAAATTTACTTGCCCATTTTAAAGGAACATTTAAAATTATCAACTTGAACATAGAAATTAGTGTATTTAAAAAATGCTTACCCATAAAAACCATCATTTTACAGCGAAAAGATGATAGAAACACTTCCAGTCACTAGAAGTGTTTAATTATCTTTATTATAATTATCCAGTTAAAAAATCAGGGAACACATTTTTTTTAATTCAATAATTTCTTGCTCAAGTTATTAATTTGTAGGCCTATGTTACGGTACTGCAAGATGAGCAAGTTAATTTAAAAATTATTTTTTATGATTTTGGTCATTTTCAAGGGACTAAACTGACCAATTGGCCATGTTTGTTTTGGTTACGTGGATAACTTAACGCTGATTAAGGCACTCTGGTTTAAGTTAATTTTCGTTGTCAAAGAAGTCTATTTTACGAACCAGTCGAATGAAAATAATACTCAACAAAAAATTATAGTCAACGAAATGATCAGAAGTTCATATTTTTGGGAAAAGAAATTTAAACAATGGTCTTCAATAATTATTTCTAAAAAACTGTGTGCATATATCGTCGTCGCGCTCGGTTCTCAAAATCATGTCTTCTATTTTATTTTACCGATTTTACTCGTGCCTCTATAACCCAATTTTGATAAAAAAAAAAATTAAAAAATACATGTTTGTTTTAGATTTTATGTTCTAAATGTTAATTTCGGAAGTGGTATTTCTCGAATTTGTACTTGATCAAAATTTTAAAAAAATGAATAAATATTAAGTTTATGATTTATTAATGTCCATGTAGACATTCATGAAATAAATAAAACAATTAACAACAAAACAAAAACAGCAACAAATATTTTTTTTTTAAATAAATATATAGGCCTAGGGGCAATGGCCTAATTTTCCCCCACAAATGCACAAAATGTTACCTGTACTGTATTTGATGTATTTACAATTGAGCATGTCAAGTTTAAAACACGAATGCAATTTATGGGCATTTAATATTGCTACATCCTCAATTTTTTTGATTTTTTTTTTTTTTTTTTTGGTTTAGCCACAATAATAGTGGGACCCTGGTGGTGAGTGTAGACTCTCCTGGAA